TGCGGGCCGAGGGGCAGAGGTGGCCGGGACGGCGGCGCTGGGTGAGGCAGGATCCCCGCGGCACGTCTGGAGTGTGAGGGAACGAGCAGCTCCTCTCTGCAAAAGCGTTTTACAGCACCAGATGATAGTTACCAACAGTGAGCCCCGAGCTCAGGCGGCTTCACTGTGTGAGTGCAGCTACGTTGCTATTATTGGTGCTGGTATTTAATATTTGCACAGCCATAACAAGTTAAATATTGGAACTACGTCCTCTCCAGTACTCCTCTCCCGACAGTTCCCTAGGGTGTCTCTGTGAAGGAACAAATGCCTCAATCCAAAACTGGGACCTTCAGAGCCTGCCTTCAGCAGCCTCTCCATCTGGAAGCACCAGCAGCCCACTGCAAGATGCTTCCAGAGTTGCTTAAGCTTGTCAGGGCTCGGCAGCAAAGCTCCGGGCTTGCCTGTGTGTATTGTTCGGATTCCTATACCATGCGGGTTCTCGGTGGCCTGAGCCTTGCTGCCCATTCCAAGACGCTGTTGTGGCAAGGTTCCCTGCTCCCCTGGCACCGGCTCGGGGAGCTGCGGAAGGGGGGCTGAATCTGAGCGAGGGAGGTTCAGCTCCCCCTGCCAATTGTGCTTCAGCACGGTGACAAAGCCACTGCTGGGCAGTGGCCTTGGCTTTTGGCAACTCCTCTGCAGCAGGTCTCGTGTTGTGGCTAGTTTGGTTGTAAGTTGAAGCATACAGGTCCTGTTGGTGAGGAACTCCAAGGAGCCTAGCAAGTACTTGAATGTATATATGATCTCTAAGATACCTGTAAACATAATTCTTTTTTTTCAGGTGTCTGTTATTAAGGGTGGTATCTTCTGTATGCTAGAGACTTGTGACAGTTCTTGAATGAAACAAATTTTTAACTGGAGGTCACTTACTTTTGGGAAATTTTGTTTTACTTGTCTGGAATTCCCTTCTGCTTTACACTGGATACATTATTCAATGTTCCCTGTCATAATATGTTCTGTAGTGTGTAAAGGTTGTTGCCTTCTTTCTGCTGGGGGCTGTATTTCAGTGATGGGTGAAGCAATGCTTCTAATAAGTAGTTTTGTATCATTTTGTCAGGTACTTTGGGGTTGTTTGATGAAAGGCTACATAAGTGTCATTTATTATGAATGCCTCCCATGTTTTGGAATTTAACAGACATAATATTTTCCATCCTGTCACCATCATCACATTCATTTTCATAGTTATAATCCAATGTGGCAACAATGGCATTCAGATACTTAATTATATTTCATGTAGGTGACCAATGCTAATTTATTAAATTAGTGCATGGTGCAGCAGGAACAAGTGTCAAAGCTTCCCCTCCATGGTTAGGGAGCCATCAGCTTGCTTCTCACATATAAAAATCAGTATATAGAGGAGCATATGGCTCCAGTGAGTTCTGTGTTTATTAAAGGACTATGCCTCTGAACATTCTGTGAATTTTTTTCCTTATTTCACTTGATGTAGATCTAAAATGTTTTTCCCGTCTTTCAGTACTTGAAATACTGAACAAATTCATTTTTTAGTCAGATGAAACCAAGACTTCTTAAGGTTCTTGAAAACAGGAGGCTTTTGCTTGCATCAGACTGGCCACCTATCTGGTATGAGGGAATTAGAGATCCAGCTAGACTGTGGAAACCTAAAGTTCAAGTCTCTGGTTTGATTCAGAACAGTGTTAAACTCTTTTACATTTATTGCATTTCTGGAAAACTGGATTGCCAGCTGTATTGGAAGGGAGGGCGGAGTATCTCATCCTCTAGTTCTAAGAAGAAATTACACCTTCTCAAAACTGGTAGGGTAGGTTTTCTGCTTCGATGTCATTTTTCAGGTTGCAAATTAAAAAGTTTCCTCAGAATTTTCTAAGCAGTGGCCATATCTTTAGTCTGATAGTAATATGTATGTTGGTAATAATTCAAGAAAAGCATTTTATCCTAACAGTAGCTGGGATATGTTTCACAAGTACTTAACTACTCAGATAAAAAGAAGAAGAAAGACCACCACCACCATCTCTTAGATGACAGCTTTAAGTAAATCACAGTTTTTTACTTGGATCCTAGAAATGTAGAATCAGTCTTCTCAAAGATATTTTGAAACCCTACTTTTGTGTAGCCAAAGCCACAGGGTTTTTCTTGAAGTAACTTCTGTGGAGGAGGTAGGATCAAAGAACAGTGTGTTACCTGCTGAGCTACTCCCTTTTTCTGCTCTTTTGGGATCTCACCTCTTTCCTCAAAATGTAAAGAGAGAATTGTTTTATCCCACAGTTGTCTTTGCCCTGTCAGAGTCACTACAGTGAGGATTAGTGATCAAGTGAAAGGAATGTGCCTCTTTTTTCGCTGTGATTTGTGTTCCTTTTGGCAAATGGATTCTTTTCAGATGGGTCTGAAAATCTTCAACTGGTTTTAAAGTTTGAACTCCGGCGTTCTGTAAGCTTTATTGCCCGACTTTGTTCTTTGTTGTTCACTTTTGACTGGGTAGCGAGGATTTTTTTGAAAAACAGATAATAGTTTCCAGGATAAAAATACTGAGTTTGTATCTTCTTTCAGAAATTCTGTAATACAAAAAGGCAAAACAGGGTTCTATGTCCAGTTAAGACTGAAAATTCAGTATTACCTGGAAAAGTACTAGAAGGATATGTAGGAGACCTGACAATTTTGTCAGCGTGTGTGTGTTGGTTGTTCCCAGCATTCCACTGTTGTACCCAGATGGGAGTAAGAACTTAAAAACAAGTTTAGTTCTGTGCATCTAAGCTCATTACTCCCTGGTAAAGAAGCTGGTTTTCTAGAAGCCCCTGCTTATTTAATTTGCTGCAGTCTGTGATATTGAATGAGACACTGAACCCTGTCTCCATGTTCTTTTCCACCATGAGACACTGAACCCTGTCTCCATGTTCTTTTCCACCATGCATGGCTTTACAGGTCTCAGTGGATCAGTGACTGGTGATCTGTCGCAGAACTGATGTTGGGGTTCATTCATCTAAGTTTTTCTAGATAGTAATGTTCAGTCTTGATCAATATCACTCATCCATTGCTTAGGTTTGTGTGGTGCATTTCTGCGTGTAAAGATCATCGGGTGATTTGGTGTGGCTCTATAGGACTGTACAAGTGAGTGATAATGCTCCACCCAGCATGCTTACTGAAATGTTTAAGCTCATGTGAAAATATGTGTATGTGGTCTTAAATAGAGAGAAAACCAATGAAAGTCAATGAGAATAACAGCAAAGAGTGGAGTTAGATGTACACTTGTTTCAAATTTGAAATTTGGAGGGAATGAAGGCTGGATATGCATTCCTGAAAAGGAGACTTTCTTTCCTTCATCTTTTCCTAGCAAGAAAGAGAGTATATGCTTGTACCCGAGAACCCTCAAGAAGCAAATGTAAGTCCATTAAGTCTTAAGAATATGAGTGTATGTATCAACATGCACAACTTAGCCCATATTTGCATATAGCATAATGTGACTTCTGTTCTGATTTTTGGCCTAAAAACACTATGTGTGCATGTAAAATATAATTAATGTAATGTTTGACCCTGGAGGAGAATTTTTATCTGACCTTTTATCAGGAGTAATTTTGGAAGCTGCCCAAAATTAAAAATCCCCTGAAGTTCTTCTAAAGAGATGTTAATGAAAAAACACTTAGGGGTATGCTGGTCTCAGATCTCTCTGAGGAAGAGAAACTTCAATGTGACTTTGCTCAGAGAAGCCTAGCTTTTGAGACTGTTATCTGCACAGAAATAAGGTAAAATAGAAGTCTGACTATTCTAGTCACAACAGCTAAACTTTAACCAAATTGGAAAAGAAATTGTGCAAAGTTCTAAATATGAAGTGACTTGGACTCTGCTTCTTGGGGCAAATCACATGTGCTTGCTTTGATCACCAAGGTTTGTCCACCCTGCAAGACTGGTACAAGACACTGAGCTTGTCCTGGTGTGGCAGTTCTACTCTAAGGGAGCAATCTGATTTAGATATGCCTGGCTTAAAGCCTGGTTAGAGCCAGAACATGACCTTCAAACCATGCAAAGCTGGAAGGTCTGTCTGCCATGAGCTGAGCCACAGAAGGAAAATGCTGTAAGAATTTTCTCTTTCCTTTCAGGTGAACATTTAAAAGCTTTCCTTCTAGCTTACCCAGCTCCTTATCTGAGTGTGATTTTCAGAGGTTCTTAGGACAGGGGGTCAATATATTGGCCTTTCCCATATGTGTACTAGTGTTTACATTTCTCTTAAAATTTAAGTGACTTTGCTTTTAGATTGTAGAACATTGACAGTGCCACTCAAGCAATGCAGCTGCTGTGGAGTCTGTGTACTTGCGTATTTTGGTGGGACTTCTCTTTATCATGTTTGGATTATATAAGACTTTGCTAAAGCTCTCCTAGTTATTTTTCATAGCATATACTGTAACTTTATGTAGTAAGTCTTACTTTTAGTATTCCTTTTTGCTTTTGTAGTGTACAGGTTTTTTGTTGCTCAAACCATATCTAGAAGATTTAGTGAAAAGCAATATTTAGCATTTTCTTTTAGTTTGGCTTCTTGAGGAAATAGGTTTTTGAATGGTTTGGGGACCAGAGGTAGGTTACTGAAAGCCACAACATTAGCCCACTATTTTTAGTGTTTCTAGAATAGTGTGTTTCATGAAAAAATGTGGCAAGGTAGAGTAGATGATGCTTTTTAAATAATCCCCCACTAGAGTTCTCTAGGCTTTGAGTCTGTTGGCCAATTTCCACCCTGTCAAGAGCTTACACCTCTGAAATGGTGAGGTTTGTGTGCATGCTGCATGAGGATACAGCCACCCAAAGGTGAGAAAGTGCAGGTGCCCACTAAGGGAAGCGCTGCAGTATATACTCCTGTGGGTTTAGGCAGGAGTTTGTGTGGGAGAGAGGCACCATAAGTCTGCCCTTCCTCTCTCATATGAGCTTTATTCAAGGCAAAAAAAATCTCCCGTATGAAATCATTCCTTAGGACACAAAGCCTTGAGTTAGCTTGAAGTTCAGCAAATCATGCTATTCTCATAGCTCCTTTTGGGAGGGGAAAAAGACCAATGCCACTTCTGACCAATTTAAATTCTGAAGACAGGGAAGAATGTTTATTACTTTTAATGAAAATAATTTGTCACCTTCAGAGCAGCTTACGTGCCATTTCTACAGAAGAGACGGGAGTTTATCCAGAAACGTCAATTTTTTCAGTACTTCCACTCATTTTCAAATTCAGTTTCTTGGGCAGAGTAACCCAAAAGTAATATAAGATACGTTGCTATCTCATGTAACACAAACTAGTGATGGCGTGAGAATGCCTGTGTAGAAGTACAGTGTCATAGGTCTTAGACACCTTTGCAGTGATTGGGGCACAGGGAATTGCTGGACTAAATGACAAGTGAATCTGCGTCTGTACTGGAGCAAATGCACATTCTGTCCTCCAGCCACCCAGCTGTGGCAAGCTCAGCTCCACAGCCTCTGTAGCTGTGCTTCCCGACAATATGCACGAGCAAAAAAGCCATGCTTAGTGAAATCCGTGTCTGAGGGAGTGCTGGGTTGCAGGCATGTTTGCACTGTAATAAGCACTTGTGAATATATTTTTGAAGGTAAAGTAGATCTGGCATCCATCCATTGGAGAGGTTAGAAAGCTTTTTTGTCCGGTGGGGAGGAGGAAAAAAGTGTGGACAGTATTGAGTTCCTTCATTTCTGTAAACCTCTACAGGGTTGGCAGAAGCATGAGGGAAGAGAAAAATAAGTTAATTTTGTAAATTCTTCCTGACATAGTCTACACATGTTCTCTTACCCTCTGCCTCTCCTCTCCCTTTGTCTTGCTAACATTTTCCCTTGTCACAAAATGTTTACATGTGGGGAACAGTGAGATAACACAGCATAGACTAACCAGTAGTAATTTCCTACAGTTGTGTCACATATTTCTAATTAGTGGCTTTTCCATGCTCTGTAGGGGTTGCTCAAACTAGAATTGAGTACTCAAAACATTTCCTCCATCTGTAAGTATATAGTGAGCCCGTGTTATGTCATATTTTCCAGGGCTGTGTGGTTAGAAAGGGAAGACCCACTTAAAATGCTCTTGATGCAGCCAGGGCAGCCCTTGTTTCTAAATGGCAGCTGTGTTTAACTTTTTCTGGATACAGTTAATACCCATTGAGCCATTCTTTTTGCTTTTTTTGTAAATTTTATGTCACAGCAATCTGGATTTAATGTTGTTCTAATCTCACATTGTAATGTAACAACAATGAAATGATTCTCGCACCAGTCTATGGAGAATCTGTGCTAATGCCATTAAAATGTGCTTACCAAATCAAAACAAGTGCAGAATTAGCATATGGAAACTGTGTTTATGTGATTATAATGTTTCAGCAATATGAGATTACTGTAGGAAGCAACTAATCCAAACCTAGGGGGACTTCCCATTACAAGGCCATTAAAATGACACAATGACTGAAGTGCACGTTTCAGATGGGAAAAGCGGAAACATAAATCTTGTCATCAGTATTCAGGCAAAACATCTATTGAACTCACTGGAGTTTTTACTAGAGTCAGGAATGCAGTGCCATGACCTTTTTAGTAGCAAGTCTCTTTTAACAATACCTCTAGGAAAAATATTTACTTCACCAGGATTTGATAGGTGGTTAACGGTGAGAATTGTATTTTATGCACCATACAGTTGGTGGTTATAAAGATTTGTCCAGAGTTTATTACAAAAATGATAAGGTAGTGTTTCACAGCTTTTGTGAAATAGTACAAGTTTTGGTTATATCCTAAAGCAGTTTTCTCATTTTTTAGTCTGAATCTGTAATTTTCAGGAAATATAATTTATTTCTCTTTTTCTACAGCACACAGAGCTGAGATGTCTTGGTCTGTGCAGGAGGTCTTTAGAAATACTACCACATAAATTAGTGATTTTCAAAAGAAAAATATCTGTTATTGTCAGAAGCTACCTATTTATTTTCTGTTGTAGGAATCAGCACATTTTCCCATCCCCTCAGACTTGGTTAAGATAAGGAGATATCATTCACATATCCTATGCAGAGTCATCTGAAATATATTTGTCTTGTCCTGGATTGTTTCTTGGCTTGCTCCATAGTCATGGAAGGGGGATAATATTACAGAAAGTGACTTGTACTGTCCTATTACAGGCATTCAAAATAAGCTAGATGAATTGCCTGTAGATATGTCTTCCTTCTCCACTATGAAAATGGTCTAGATGATTGTTATGTAGTAGACATATATCATTTAAATGGCTAAATGAGGTGATGTGAATGCAGTCCTTGGTGTATAGAAGAAGAAACTTTTTCAAAAGAAAGTTCTGTGTAAAACATGGCATGCAAGTCATTAGTAAACCACACAAACAGTGATTCCTGTAGTAACATATACATGCTTAAATTAAGTAGGAATCCTTATTCCACTTAAAAACTATCTGCATCTAAAATCTGTTTTAAAAACATATAATTCTGATTCCATCAAATGAATCTTATTGGAAATCATGTATCATAGCATAATCAGGAGAAGCTTTTTATATGAATGACAGTAGGGAAGATACCAGGACAGTGGTTTCAAAAATAATTCCAGTCACAGGTTGTTGACTATCTGTATTTTTTATAGTTCTTGTATTAAGAGTGGTGGGTTTCTAAAACTGTGTTAGTAAGCAGGAATAGGCATTAATATATTTTTCATGTAGATAAAATTAGGCCTACTTTTTGTTTGTGTCAGTTTCCATTTTTTGAGATGCTTCTTATATTTATAAAAATCCTTGGCCTCAGTCAAAAGGTTCTGTAAATTCTAGAATTTAAAAATCAACAGGTTGGTGTCTGTTGCAAGAGAAACCTTGCACGGGAACTGGTAATTGATTTGTGTCAAGCTTTATCAAAAAAAATTAAATACTTGTATATTTAATTGTATATAGGTTTGGTTTGCTAACTTAATAAATGGATTGGAAAACTGGCAGTGAACATGGGGAAAACAAAGTGTGAATCCAATGCAGAGGGTAGTTATTGCTCTGTGCTGTCAGGGTTTTACTGAATACCAGAGTGTAGATATTTGCATTAAAAAAAATAGTGGGGGTAAAAAAAAAAATAAAGCAAAGGTAATGCTTAGATTTATTATTACATTTTACATAATTACAGTTGCTTTGTTGTGCATATAAGAATTACTCAGATCATTGAACTTTCTCCAAAATAATGGGTTGCTCTATATAGAGCACTAGCCTTCTTTAAGCATGGAATTAATGACTGCTTAATTGAATTGCAGCTAGGAGCAGTTTCTGACTAAGACAGGTATTTTGCTTTTAATTATTTGCTCAAGAATAATATTTTCTGAAATCATACACTTCTTAAATTTGTTTGGAACAAAAATAAATCATCCTATTAATCAGCCAGCAGTTCATTCTATGAGAGTAATTATTCTTCTACCTTCTCAAACAACTTAGCATGCTAGTTCAGGAATGAAATTCCTAAAAGAACCATTCTTCCTAAGTCTACTTTTACACAAGGCAAGTAAACATAGTCAGTCACTCATTTCTCTTTTTTATGGATGGCAAACTCTTCATATTACAGTGAGCACCAGCACTATAGACTGCACTGGGCAGGCAATAGCTGCCTTTTCCAGGGGCTGGGTCACTTTTGTGCATTGGTTCTTTGGCAGTGACAGCTTCTCATGAGATCAAAGTACCCCCAAAGAGATCTTGAGATTCCTGTGCCCTTTGATATGTAGAGTTCAGTGCCCTTCAGATTTCAGTTTTTCTGTCATCCTGGTAGATTAACTTCAGCAGTTAAAAGGAAAATGTCCTCTGAGGGCTTTACCAGTTACAAACCCATGTTTATGACATTATTCACTAAAAGGGAGGCAGAAATGGGAAAGACCTCTCTCTTTAATCAATAATGCATGCTCTAGTTAGTCCTTTCCTCTGGACATGATTAAACATGTATTTTGTTTCATAACTGATGATTTTGGTTGACTAGGGATTTTAACTATATATCCTCAAGCCTTTGTGACTAGCATCTGGAAGATCTAACATGAACGGGTTGGTCAAGACTACCTCCACTCCCAAAAGGGAAAAAAACCAAAATCCCAGTGAGGAGAGCTGCAGTTAATTCTAACCTGCAGTGAGTTAGGCCAAGCTGGCTCAGTGCCTGAGACATGAACCAGCTGCAGATTGTAGCCTCAGTGTTTGTCACTGCTTGTTTGAAGTTTTGAGAAGTAACATTGTTTCATTGATGTTAAAGATGAATTAAAGAGTGTCCAAGATGCTGAGCCATATATCAATTGTTAGTCTTGGAGTCTTGGAGGCCAGGAATAAATACACTGAACATACCAGTAAGGAATATTCGGCCTTGTTGCCAAGTGTGTTCATCTGGTGGCTGAAGCTGACAAAATTTGACAGCTGCTGAAGAGCAAAGAATCCTAAATGAACATACAGTGGTTTTATTAAATAGGATACATTTATCTTAATGTGATACTGACTGCACCACAATAAATGATGAAATTTTCCATGTACTGGAATGTGATGTGTTTATCTTGCTTGAGTACTGATAGAAGCACAGTTGGGTAAAATAATGCCTTGTTTTTCATATTGACCACCCTGCTGCAAACAGCTTCTGGAAACATCCCAGTGAACACACACAGAGTGTAGGTACATGTGCAACAAGGAGGAGGGATTTCAGAAATTGCCCGAGAAAATGCTGCTCCTTTTGAAATGTTTTTGTTTCCTTTCTTCTTCCTTCCCAGACTCCTTTAGGATCTGATTTTTTTTTTCCTTTGTTAAAGAAAAATGCCTTCCTTGAGCGGAAAAGTGCAGACTGTCTTGGGCCCTGTGGAGCCAGACTGTCTTGGCTACACTCTGACTCATGAACACTTGACTATGAACTACAGCAGCTGCTTTTGTCCACCTTCTCCAGGCCAAGAGCCTTTGTCTAATGGGCCCATTGAGATGAAGAACTTGTTTTGGATTAAGCAAAATCCCTACAGCCATAAAGAAAACCTTCTTTTGTATCAGGAAACAGACGCTGTGAGGGAGGAGCTGCTGCATTTTAAAGCAGCAGGTGGTGGGACGATTGTGGAAAACACAACTACAGGAATTGGCCGGGATATAAATACTTTGAAGAAACTTGCTGAAGAAACTGGAGTTCATATTATTGCTGGTGCTGGTTTTTATGTGGATTCCACTCATTCTTCTCAAACGCAGGCCATGACAGTGGAGCAGGTAAGTCTTAACCATTACTTCAGTGCCTCTGTCCTGTGAATTATCCCTAGGTAAGCCAAAGTTGGAGGCAAGTTCCAGTAAAATAGATTAAATACAGAGGTGCTCAGTGTAGAAAATGCAAACAGCATTACTGCTTGTGTGTAATAGCTGGAGCAGCACTACTTTCATGTCCTTGGGTTACCTGTCAGAACTTCCAGTTCTTAAGTTCCATTTTCTCTGAGGGATTTTTTATCATGAAACAATAAAGGGAAAATACAATATTTGCTGTGTGGATAGTTGGTACACCACCAACTATCTTGAGTTTTTTGCGATTTTTTAAGGAAGGAGTTTATCCTTGCTACCTGTTTTGTCACTTTTTCTGGCTAATTGCTTCCCAATGAGTTTAGCCAGCATTTGTAAATCACTGCTCTGCTCAGGCTGTGTGTTACGGCTCTCTTCTCTATCATTTGTTCAGATTCTTCAGGGCACAGTCTACATCAGCCTGTTTGTACCATGACTAAGACAATGTGTTAATTATAACTGAGGTCCCCAAATATTCCTGTAATAATAAATACTCATCTTTTATTAAGAAAATGTGGTGATGAGGAAAAGAGGGAATGGAACTCTCCAAGGTAGGCTGTGAAAGTGTATGAATAGAGCTGAAATTTTTTTTTAAGCTCTCACAGTTTACAAATGAGTCAAATTAATTTTAAAAATCAATGGTCAAAACTTGAGCGGTGCTGCCAACAAAACGGGACCCAAGCTTGCCCCAACTGTACACAAGAGTACCACTTCTCCTAAATGTTCTTCCATTGCTTGAAATACAAATAGATACAAATAGATTTCTCAAGGCAAAGGCTTCCCTTCTGTGTTTGGTGGACCCATGGAGACCCACAGATTTCCTCTACTCTGAACTTGGAAGGCAGGCCATCATCAGTGCCATTTTGTGCTCTCAATTCTGAATGAATGCTTAAGATATATGGCCTTTTCTGGGAAAGAAAAACTAAAGCTTTTATAACAAAGTAGTTCTATTGAGAGATTCTGATGAATGAGAGATTTTTGTCTATGGGTGCTCTAAAGCGGGCTAATCTTGATCTTGTAAATTTGCCAAACGAGCTTTGTTTTTGTAGTTCTGAAGTCAGAAGAGCTCCTGTTGTTTTGCATTGCCATTCCCATAAGCAGGTTTTGCCTTAAACTTTTCAGGATACTTGAGAGAGTTTCTTCCTTCCCTGTCTGAATGACAAAGTTTCTTTATTCTCTCATCTCTTGTTTTGCAAAAATTACATTGAATTGTGTATGGACCCAATTCAGGAGTGCAAGGCAAAGGTTTTGTAATAGATTAACCTTTTTTTGTTTCTCTTTTTTTTTTTTTTTTTTAAAGAAAACCCAATGTCTGCCTTAATCAGAGTTCAAATTGCATATAGAATATAGACCACCTTTTTTTGGCAAACCTGGACAAATATGTGACTGGATACTGTTAAATTGATTTTCTTCTGTGTTTATTTTGGTCTTAGTGAATGGCTAGCATAACATTAGTTGACAGAAACCAGATTATAACTGCAGTGTTTTCACACACCCAGCTGTTAATTAAATAAGTTCAGAAAGACCTTGAGAGTATAACTAGCCCAGCATTACTAGGCTGAATTTGATGCTATTTAACACAAATAGTAATAATAACCAAAAATATAATTTTCCTGTTCTCTAGCTGACAGAGATTATTGTTGATGAGGTACTCAAAGGAGCAGATGGGACTAATATCAAGTGTGGTGTGGTGGGAGAAATAGGTTGCTCCTGGCCTTTGACTCCGAGTGAACACAGAGTGCTTCAGGCAACAGCACAGGCTCAGTCACAGCTCGGGTGCCCTATTATCATCCATCCTGGCAGGAACAGTGACTCCCCTTTCCAGATTATCCGCATTCTGCAGGAAGCTGGGGCTGATGCTTCAAAGACAGTCATGTCTCACCTCGACAGGTAAGGAGACTGTTCACTGCTTCCTGCAGTGTTGCCACAACTCACTGGGATTTTGCAGAGCTGCGCTGGGAAAAGTTGACATAAAGTGTTATCCTCAAGTTTACTGACTTAAAAATAAGTGTTTATATAGAGCTTGATCTGCATCCAGCACTTCAGTCAGGATCAGCTTTTAGATTCACATTGGTAAGAGATTTTGGTATTTTAAATGCTGTCTTTGAAAGCCTGGAAGAAGGATTATGAGTAACCGTAGCTACATTTAAAAAATGGGAATTCCATTAATTTGTATCCTTGCACAAATCCCTGTATTTACAAAGCATTGGACATAGAGCAGCTCTCACTAAATCAGGTTGGAAGTTGCTGGGCTTCCAATGTTTTTGAAAACTGGGTCACTCTTAATGGCCTTGCCAAAATCTCTCAGAAGCTAATGGAAATTTTCTTGATTTGGCTGGAGTCTGGATCAAAGCAAAAGGCATATTTTAATGATCTACTACCAGACAGAGGAAACACTACTTAAAAAGAAAATAGTTGGGTTTTGGGTAGTTCCTAGCATAGACCAGGTAGTTAACTTTTAGTTTCCTCGAGAACAAAATCCTGGAGCTCCATGAGTCATGGAGAGAAATTGGGATGCTTTTCTATCTCCGCCTTAGAAATACAGCCTCTATTACCAAATCAGTTTTGTATGACCTTGTGTGAGCTGGAGTATGTCCAGGCATTGATTAGTTTGGCCAGTTGCTGAATAATGGAGACTGTGGTCATATGATTCTCAGCAATTGGATTGTTTGCCCTCACTGTGAATGTAATACAGGCAATAGCACTGTGCTCCAAATTTCTCATGGTTACAGACTGACTGTAAGATCTTGCAAATCAAGTTACAGGTGCTTGTTATTCACACAGAGCTCCTTGTTTTACTTGAGGATTTTAGGAGCATAAAATTCATGCCATGAAATTATATTTGAATATTTATAACTTCCTTTTTGTATTTACTTGTGTTTCACTATATCTATAACTGTATTTTTCACCCCTTTTTGAGGAAAAACTGATTATTTAAATCTTTTTATGACAGGACTGAACAAGCTACAGATATCAGTACTTACATAGCCATTTTGATACAACATAAATATGCAATTATGGTTTCTTGCCTCTTACACAGTTGTAAATTGTCAAATTAAGTAATTAATTAATGGAAATTAAGCAATGTAAGCAGGAAAACAGAGGTGCAGTTTCAGTAACAGCCGCTGATGCACAATATGACATTTCCTTTTATCTCTTTCTATCATTACTTTCACACATTCAGGTTGGCACTTTCTGTAACATAAACTACTGTGAAGTTTGGCTTTGCAATGTGCATTTAACATTTTAAGTCTCCTCCAGTAGGAAAAATCCATGTGGGAGCATCCCAGTCCCTTAAATGTGAGATAAATTTGTACATAGCTCCATATTTCGTGTCTGCATTTCATATAGACAGAATGGTAGTTTTCCAGTGGATTTACAATTAAATGACAAAACTAAAATGCTAGCTACCATGTCTTGCAATTTAGCACCTTAGAACAAAAGGTAGCAGGTATCCATAGTGGAATGATAGTGCACTAAAAGACTCAAAGCAAAAGCTATTGAGCCTCAGCTTTAGCCATTTGTTAGGGGTTAAGATATAAAGGAGATCAACCTCTTGACTCAACTCACTTGAGTAACTTTTGTTAGAAGAATCACAGCAATTGTTATGAATTTGGGGCTTCATAATGATATGATGTCTGTCCCCATGGTATTTATGGCTGAGGTCCACATTACAAGGTGCTTCACCATGTCCCACCTCCTTTTCCATGAGCTCAGGGCTGTTCAGGGACAGTGTTGCCCAAACACCCAACTCCAGCTCAGAGATCAGCAATTTGAACTGGGAACTGCTGCTGTTGCTACATTCTTGTGGCTCACAGTGGGACCCAGTGGCTGAGGAAACTAAGTTCTCTGACTCTTTATTGGGATAGCACACCCAAAAGCATGACACTAACAATAGTTTTCAAAAGAAACTGTTCTGGCTGTGATTTTGAAATAGATTGTTGGGTGTTTTTGCCACCTGCACAGGATTGAATACTCTCGGCGATTGTCTCTCTGTGAACCGAGGAAGGCTGGATCTAAAATAATCTCTGCACTTTGAAAACTCATTTGGTGATAAATGTTCAGTCTCTGTAAACTGTAACATTTATTTTAAAATAACATTTTTTATTAATTGCAGTTGGCAAGTCTTACACTCCTGCTGATGGCAGGCTTATTTGAACATGGATTTTCTCTCTCTCAACCCATCTGTTCCTCCTACTTGATCTGTTGTTAAGTCATAATATTGAAATTGTGACATCAGTCATTTCCATAGCAATAGACTGTGATGTAATTGTGTAAGGTAAAACTGCTTTGTGACATCAATATCTGCAATAATAAAAAAATCCCCCAACAAACTACTGCCCTTTTGGTTAACTGTGCTGCTCTTGTGGAAATTTGGTTTCTTCTTAAAAAAAAATATATAGTTGTGTAGCAGCTATAAAGATGAAATTGTATCATTTGAGTGTTTTTGTTTTTCTTTGGACAGCTTATACACTTGGTAAAAATGATTCAAATAAAACTCAAAATATTCCAGAGGGTTCTTATTTCTGTTGCTCTTTTCTAAATGAGTGAGAGGTGTTAGAAGCATTGTTCTTTCACTTTTCAAATCTGCTGCAAAGCCCATGTCCCAGATACTCACAGTGCCATTATATATTTGGTGAGAGCATTTCTTTAATGTGTTCTGGCCAGATCCCAGTGCAAACAGTGATATATTGCCATTCTAATGGCAATCTAGAAACATCACTGTACAGAATAGAAACTAAAGGCAAAGTTGTGTATTACCGGTGTGTGATGGTTGAAACAAGCCCTGGATGAAGCTGTGTCCTGTAACTCTTTCGGGAAAGTAAATCTGTCTTGTGTACGTAATCCATTGTCTTTTTTTTATTATTATTATTATCTCTATGTATTAACCTCCTCCTTAAATGTCCTTCCTTGTTAGGTTGTCTGTTGAGAGGGTTAATGATATCAAAAGTAAGTAATTTTCCTGTTTTCATTTAAAGATTATCGTAGAGGTTTTCATTATTTCATGGGGCAAGAGTTGGTTTTGTTTTGTTTTTTTAATGCATGAAATCCCAAATGAATGTAAGAAGGACAATGCTGTGTATCATCTTAAGTAGCATGTGTCAAACAATAGTCCTGTTTTTCAAATGGGTGAATTTAATCTTAGATTATTTGGTTTTTTCCTTCTAAGTAGGAGGTCACAAAGTACCTGTCCTCATACCATAAGGTGTTTTATTCCTGTTACAGTGCTGACTCTGTGTTATATATGTTCTGCAGGACCATATTTGATAAGAAGAAACTTCTTGAATTTGCTAAACTTGGATGTTACTTAGAGTATGACCTGTTTGGTACAGAATTCCTTCATTACCAGTTCCATCCGGATATTGACATGCCAAACGACAATGAAAGAATTGCAAGGTATCTGCTCCCATGCAGTTTTAGCTACAGCATGGCCATTGATAAAAAAATATTATTGGTACTTGTTTTAAGACCATCACAGAGTGATTCTGCTTGTTGTTAAAAATTGTCTTCTATCATACTGAAATAATCCCATTTTCCCCTGCTGCTGTCGTGCCATTAGAGCAGCATGTATAATTTCTTATGTCTGACAGGAAGATGCAGAATCATAGTGTTGTATGAAGTTATTTGAGAAGATGCAAGAGCTTTTTTAACTTCATTCCCTGTCCTAATTCCATGCTGATCTGGTCACAGTTATACAGTCTGTAAAAAGGAAAAGACTGGAAATACTGCATTTACATTAGGATGAAGTACTTCTGTTTGAAACAGTGTTGGAAACTCAGTGCTGCTACTAAACATCATCAGAGCCTGTTGTATCTCCTCACCGGTTTGCTAACCCAGCAAAATTCATTGGTTGTTCTGGATGGATTTGTGTTTCCATCCTGAAAAACTGCCTTTTTTCTTCCAAGTACTTCATCACCTTTCCTCCCCCTGTCCTTTTGCCCTTTCTCTGTTTTGAAAGATGTGATTCCTGTTTCCTCAGAGCTCCCATTCTCCTCACACTCACAATGTGAAAATATTGGCCCCACTGGCAGGATACCTCTTCCCTGCTTCTCACCAGCACCTGCAGTCTCAGCTCAGCTGCACAGCAAATCTGTTGTGCTGTGCTAACACAAAGTTTTGCCAAGGAAATACATTCTGTACAGAAACTGTCTGAGAGAAGGTAGGATCAGCTGGGAATGGACAGCTCACTCCTTCCACTCCATCTGGAGGTGTGATGCTGCCATGCTGTTTGTCCACACTATTTGTGAGCAGTGAAGTGGCAGGTGTCTGAGGGGTGGGTTGCCATTCTGCCTGTGTCTTTTTACCTTCCAGAGTCACAAACAGGTCTTTCACTCTCCTCAATGAGAAAGATTCTATGATTTCTGATCACTAATGAAGTAACTTCTAGCTTTCCCTTACATCTCAGACATAGCTTCCCTCCCCCTCATTGTCAGATTAATCTTGAAACAAAGCTATTTTCAAACTGTTCTAAGAAGGTGCTGTGGTTATTCTTCCACCCTCCCAAACGTTTGCTGCTGCTTTTCACACTAGAAATTGTTTTTCTTTTACACAGCACTCTCAGTCTTGCACTCGGTATTTTAAACTGTTGCAAGGAATACACAGTTCTCGCATTTAGAATGAGCAAAGTTGCTTTCTCTGCTGTGCCTCCTGCTGTCTCCAGTGCCATGGAAAGTCAGGATCTACAAAAGCACTGGGGAATATGTAGAGAGGACTGGACTAGGCCTTGGTTAACAAGTGCGTGTTCAACCGTGTCAGAGTTTTCATTCCATCCATGATACTTGCTCAGCCGCCGTTGTCTCTCCTGAAACTCTTTAGTGTCTGAGTATTTCTTGCAGCAGGCTGTTCATAGGAAGAAATGATGAAAGGTTTTCTTCTCATTGCACAGTGTGAGTATGTGTACTTGGGTTATATGGATGTACCCACAGTGGACTAAGGATGGCTGGGGCAATCTCCTTAGGGTTTTGTTTTGTCAGATAGCACCACAGAGGAAGAAATAAAATTGACCTCTAAATGAAAATGGAAAATACTTGTTCACATCTTTTCTGTTCAAAACACAAACTTCTGTAGTCATAATGTACCTACTTGACACAGTTTAGTTGTCTGTGTACTTCAGCAGTTTGGCTGCAGTCTGCTGCCAGTGCAGGCAAAGCACTGGCTTTTGTTCTGGGGCAGTTTGGAGTCAGAAGCAAGTACTAACTAAATATAGAGGAATGAGCAGAAAGGAGCAATAGATACAGAATGGAAAGGATCATATGCCTCCCCAACCTGTGAAATTGGTCCAAAATTAAAGGATTCTAATAACATGTTTGGTCAGTAAAAACTTAGTCCCACCAGTGCCATTGCTCTTACTTTCTGGTTGGCTTATGTTTTTTCTGTATTTCAGGCTGGAGGAGATTCCTGTGATGTCATAAGACTATGGTTTTTGTAGTGTTCTGCACTGTATTGCACAGTGTATGGTGGGTTTTTGAAAAACAATAACATTTTACCAAATTCTATTGGTTTTGCCTTCCTTCTTCTGCCCATGCTGGTTAGATCCTGCTACATGTATCTCCATGTAACTACTTGTAATAAAAACTGTCAGTAAGGCCTTTCAGATACAATGTGGATACTTGTAAGGGTGGTTGTTTTCCTGCTGATCAGAGCATTGTCAGGAAGGAAAGGATTAGAATTTCACAGTGCTGGCAAGTGAAGGAATTGGAGGCCTTCATGAGGAATGAGCACATTCCAGGGATGGTCTGTCAGTGCTGCAGTCCTGTGCCAAACTAAATGGAAGCTTACCGAGAAACTTAACAGTCATGCAATACAGGAGTGTAGACATCCACATTAAAAAAAATGAGCTGATCAAGGGAGTAAGGCTACCTGAATGAAACATGGAACAGAAGGACTTGTAGCAGTCCTACTACAAGAGTGTGAGCAGGAGGATTACCTCTTTTTCCAAGCTGACTTGTCATTTTGCCAAGGCTGTTTAGCTGCACTGCCATATTAATGCCTTTTATTTCCTGGCAGTTTTGCCTCTTATTTCCTAGTGCTGTGCTATGCCAGTCTTATTTATCTTCTTTAATGAACATCTTTGAAATGTGTTTTGAAGATAACTGTCTGTATGGAGTATGACACTGGCAACTTCAAGTTCTTATTTACCTGCTTTGCTAAATGGGATTCAACCAAAGATATGAAAGTATTTGTGTAATTGAACCAGGCTCCTTTAAAGACCTGTCACACACAGAGTCTGGACATTAGCAAATGTAATGGGACCAGCTTTGTGGCACCAGCAAGAAGTAACCTGCTGAGAAAGAATTTATGTAGGAAATTATTATTTACTCATTTATATAAAACCTCTGTCCCATGCATGGTGATGCTGATGTTCTTGAATTGCTCTGTGGACCTAATGGATCTGGAATGCAGACTCATGTGCCAAAAAGAAATAGTTGTACTTCTCCATTTTGATATGTGTTTTCAGAGGTGAGGTATTTTTCATGCAATAAAAAATGCATTTTATTTTCAGGTAAATGTAAGGAGTGTATCCTCTGAGCACCTAAGTATTTTCTGTTATAATACAGTCCAGCAGTACAGTGATGTAAGAAATATAAATCCTGGTGGGTTCTGTGTTGTTCCAGTGAGAACTTTCACTGACAGGGACACTTCTAACTTTTGCAGGATTCGTATGCTGATTGATGAAGGCTATGAAGACAGAATTCTGATGGCTCATGATGTGCACACCAAGAACAGGTTGATGAAATATGGAGGTCACGGATATTCGCATATCTTTAAAAATATAGTTCCTAAAATGCTAATTAGAGGCATATCCCAAGATAAAATTGATAAAATACTCCTAGCAAATCCAAAGCGGTGGTTGACTTTTAAGTAGGAATAATGAATAAATATGCCTGATTTATAAGGAAGCTTGATAAAATTCAGATTTCAGTAGAACAGTTGTTAAAAAAAAAATCTGAAAAACTGAAAATTATTAAGTAGATGCAAACAAACTGATTATAACTTTTCTTTTTAATTAGAACATCAAAATTGTGTACTATCTCTACATTTTCTCCCTTCTGAAAGTTTTCTTATGAATGATTAACTGAATATGAGCATACTTACAGAATCTTTTCAACTGAAATTCTAAAATAATTGTTTCAAAATCGTAATTTAATACTGTTACTGAATGTTACCTCCAGACTACTACTGAAGATGCGTCATCCAGACTTGGAAGGAAATTATGGTTTTCAGTTACATTTCCTGTCTCCAGGGGCTGATTTTAATCTCTGTATTACTGTCAATCTTCTCATTACCCTTGTATTCTTTAAGTAATGCTTAAAGGTCTGAAACTTTTAATTAGCTTCTATAGACAAGAGAAGGCAAGAGGAATCTCAAATAAATCTAAAAAGATAATGTTTCTTTCTAGTTTAACATTTTACTTAGCTGTAACTGAAAATGTAAAAAATACATGGAAAAATATATTTTTGAATAAAGCATTTTGATCACCTCTTAAACTATGTGCAATATTATTACAGATGTCTTTTTCTAATTGCTTTAGTTTTTTTATCATGAACTTGGAGTCTCACAGCAATCATGTAAAACTTGACACATACCAGCTTCTTTTTGTAAGGATGCAACACCAGCACTCAAAATATATTACATAATACAGTTTTAATGAGTTGTAATAGTTATAACAAAGGTTGTGATATAAGTCTTTACAAATCAGTATATCAAGATATGATGAAAAAGGAAGAAATGTTTGCCTTATATGTGGTTTTCACATGAAGTGTGTTCTTTGCTCTTGTCTAACTTTAACCAGGGCAGGTGATATATCCAAAAGTGGTCTTATCCAATAGCCTGATTTCAGAAGCTTCTTCAGATTTGACCATGTATGTCTCATAGTATTGAGCTTTATCAATAAACACCATAGTAAATGCACACTGCTGATTGTGAATGATCTCTAACTCTAGGTGCAGGACTGTTGGACACTAGGTAGGGAATCTCTAGCTACACTGCCGTGGGAGTGCACTGGCCAGCAACAGCAACAGTGGAGCAAACAGACAAGTCAGGTACACATCTGTTATTAAAATAATTGCCTCGTAGAAATTAAACAGTAGTAACCACTACAATGTACAGATATAGGCTGGCACTTTCTCATAAGGTAGAAGCATTAACCATCTGGTGAGATAATACACAAGCAGCTGGCAGCATGATGTCCCCTTGTAAACCCTGGATGAGATTGCCTGGCGATCCTCTCAGTCAGCCTGGGCTCACTCGGCATTTGTTTTGAATTCAACGACTCAAAACAGAAGGAGTAACACGTTCTGTTTAAGGTTCACTCATTCAAACCAGATTTTTAAGGAGATGCATAAAATCTCTATAGGCTTTTACTGAGTAGCCAGCACTGGTGAGCTTTTTTGTCAGAGTGGCAGACACTTTGGAAATTTTAGTGCAGATAAATCTAAGTTTGTACCCTTATTACATTAGACAAGGTTGGTTGTGGCAGAGTGTATGAAATAGCAATGCTAGGGATAGCTTCTATTACTCTTTAATGATTTATAGAAATGTTACCTTGATTTTGCTAAAAAGTTAAAAATAAATAAACGTAACGAAGTGTGATAAAGAAATTTGATAATCTTGCTGAAATTTGGGTTTAGAATGGAACCTGCAAGTTTTAACCTTAGAGAAATCACCTCCCAAAACAAAACAAATAATAAACCTATTTTCTGAATAAAAAAATTATGTGGACATTACTGCTATGATTGATTTTAAAGCATTTTTATAATTATGTATCTGTGTTAGTTTAATTCTCCAAGCCATTAATCCTCTATATGGATTAAGCTTCTTTGAGACTTTATATATCTATATCTATATGAATGAGAAAAATAGGTTTTAATACACACTTTTTTTTGCATGTAAATATCTGCTTTTTTCTTTGCATATGTGTTATCATTTTTTGGTAATATGCTTCTCTGTGTCCATCTCGTAGGCAGGCCTTACCACAAACTGGTACTAGCTTCCATGGAAAAGGTCTGACAGCATTTTCTCACGTGTCAGATCTCCCACTCTTCCTTTGTTGGAAAAGTCCCACTAACTTCAGTGAGACAAGACACCTAAAACAATAAAAGTTTTGACCCATTATATTCCTATGAAATTCTAGTGGAACATCTGCAGTACATTAATCCATAACTACTTTATTAAAAATAGAACCCAGGTACAGACTAAGTGCTAAGACTAATGAAGACTAATTGCTGCAAAGAAAACACTCTGCCTTAGTCTGATGTTGTGGATGCCAGGCTTTCTAAATATTTACACAACTAACCATCAAGAATGGGCCTGTAATAATTGTCTAAATATATATTTACATGTATACAAATTAGAAGCCAAATCCCTTTTCCACTAATAGCAATGAGAGTTTTTCCATTTGCTTTGGTGGAATCAGGGATATGGTTTAATAAAATAGTTTGTCAACTGTTAATTTTTTCAGGGAAAATAGTATTTCTTCTATCTTTCTTTTTATTCTAGAGGACAGCTAAGGGAAAGACAAAATTTAAATAGCTCCACTGGATTGATTTTATGTTAGAAGTCTAATGTAAACCTACAAAGCAGGAACATTGAGTTAAGGCTTGAAGCTGATTACTTTCTAGTTTTAAGTGGAAGGGTAAGAAAAGTACAAGGCAAACAATTTCTTTGCAGAGAGAAAGTATATTTTGATTACCTCTTCCTTTTATTGTAAAATCATTCCTCACCACACTATGAGTGGACTCCAAGCATCATTGTTAGCAGGTAAGTCACAAGAACCAAAGCTGAAGTATGGATAAAGCAGCAAGATCATAACACATTAAAGTATCATATACACTGAAGAAATAACTCAGCGTCCTTAGGTGGGCTTTTCTTCCCTATAAAAATTTGATCTATGTAGAACTTCATTCACATGGACACTAACAATGAGGAAGTATTTGCTTTGGCGGAAGTGGATCGCACATCTGTTTAACTTGGTTTGTGGTTTTTAAACATAAGGTTTCTCTGTGTTGTACAGATGTGAATCAGGTAGCATTCGACTTTTCCCCCCACTGCTGAGGTGTTCGGTGGTCACTCTCTGCTGGGGTGCTTGTTTCATTGACTTTTGCCACGCAAATCCATCGTTTAGAAGAGCAAGCTTCATTTCTCGACTGGTTTGGTGGGTCTTTTTACTCATTATCAGTCAGCATAAATAATAAATCCAGAAAATGTGCTGTATTTGTTGTTGTTTCCTCCATGTGCTTTTCCTCCATCTAATTTAATGTAAACTTCATCTCCTGGCTCCAAGTGAAGAACCACGCTGTTACTGGCATAGTCGTAGTTCTGATCAGCATCCTGAGCAATTGCACTAGCTCGGACCTACATAAAATACAGAATAACTGGTTAAGAAAACTCAGGCAATTTTTCCTGCCTGGTGAAATTAAAGCATATCCTCAAAGTTTTATTTAACATGCATGAGTTACTACTTTAAACATCTGGCTATGTATACTGTAGCTTATTCCTATGGCTATTGCTTATTTTCTCCTACTGTACTTCTGAAACTAAAGCAGTAATATTTTCCTTTCTCAGTCATCCAGTGAATACACAACTGCCTGATCTTCTGTAGATGTCTGGATCCTTTTTAAAAATATTTGTGAGGATAGCTGGAGTTGGGAAAACTGGATCTGATCATGTGCCAAATTTACATTGGTGTGACTTTTGTATCAGTGGGACAAGTGATTGACAATGGTGAAGATCCACAGAGAGGCCCACAAGGCCCACAGGGAATTCCCAAGATGGACTTTTTTCAGAGGCAGTTTATTGTCATAGTAAGTAATAGGCTCATGCTGCAAAGACTACAAGAAGTACACCACCCTCCACACACATGCACACAAGCAGTCTGGGTTTGGAAAAACCGCTATTACCACATTTCAGTAAGCAAACATTTAATTTCACTGTTTTGAAGAGATGCACTTTTGAAAAAATCACAGGCAAGTCACTATTTGCTGTAAGAGGTTTTTGGAATTTACAAGTCATTGAAGGCTTTTCATTTGAAACTTTCCCTTAAACATACTTTTCCCCCATTTCTCCCTTGGTGTTCTACTACTGATTAAATTTGACATTTCATGAAAACTGGAAGTAATCTGTAATTTCAAGATATATGTTGGTTTCCAGCAATAAGCAGCCTGTGCCATTGCAAGTCTCCAAATCATTTATATATAATTTGACTCTGTTTGGTAAAATATTTAAACATGGTTGTATGTGATTTATTTCAGTGTAACACGTCATCTTCTTGTTGCTTGTCTTTGTTCTAGTGTAGTTACAGAGCAGTAAAAGATTTAGTGGCATTGCAAATCTGAACTAAGTAATAATGCATGACTTGGCGTACTATATGTGGGATTTTTTCTGCTCTGAACTGAAAAAATAGGCTATAAGTCACAATTTTCCATGGATTCCTTTCAAAGTTTACATGATAAATTTCTAAATTAAATTTTCATGTGATATGATTTCACATTAATATTGAAATGTTAAAAAGGAGGGGGTTCTTTTACCATGCAGGATCTTACGGCATTATGCAGCTTAAAAATCACAGTAGGTGGAAATTCTTTATGCATCCTCTAAGAACAGTGAGAAAGGCTGCAAAGGCTTGCAGAGCTGTGACAGGCTGCAAATTTAAACTGATACATGGCATGATGAAAAACCCCAACTATTTCAGGACTTCTTGATCCTGACTTGCCTGGTATTGTTTACAGAGGTGATCTATTTTGCTAGTTTTTTAAGCAACAATTATTCTAAGTACTGGATGTTTCCTTTGGAATGGTGTCTAGCAGGGCAGAGTTGAAGGCTCTGGGCCATTAACCCTGGAAAGACCTTCCAGAGAAATAACAGACTGAGATGGTTGCTGGCAGTGAAAATGGAAAGGACAAATGGGGAGGAGTGAAAAGGCTACAGACAAGGTAGAAAAACTTTCACAGAGAACTAGTATCTTGCATAATGGTGAGAAAAATGGTTTAAAGGAATTTTCAAATTCCCATTTACTTCCTAATGAAATGCTACTTTGTGGATTTGTATAAAATCTTGTGGATGATAAGGGAGAATTCAAATTACATCAGTGACTATCCTAAGGGAGTCAGCATGTGGACACTGGCTACAACAGCCAGTTCATTTTTAAGAGTCTACATAATACATCCTGTCTGGGAAAAAAAAAATATTCTGGGTATTGAAAGTCTAGAAACCAAAATGCAAATCTTACTGCCCTGTGTGTAGCAGCAAAGCTCCTGGATGCTATTCTTAGTGGGTTTACCTTCTTGCTTGGTTAGCTAGAGCAATTTCTTTATGAAGCCTAGGAGAACAGTCTCAAATGAATTCTCAGTGAGTGTACTGCTGCAAGAGGGTAAGTGTATCTCCAAATTAAAGCATTATGAGAAATACATTTCACAAGTTCCATGTAAGTTCTTTCATGAAGCTGCACTCTCAGCCTGCACACACATACCTAAGCTGTGTGACCTCAGCACTTCCCTCTTCAAGCTTGATAACCATTAAAGCAGACAATGTGGTAACACTGGGTACCTTGAGGCTCCACGTACATATTGCTTAGGAATGGTTTGGGGTTTTTTTCTGTAAGTCATACAATCTTTAATGTTTTGGGTTTTTCATCATTAGAGAACACTGGATTTATAATGTTGCCTTTGTCACTCCATCTAACTACTTACTTCCAAAATTTCTGAGCTTCCTTACAAATATACATAAAAGCTTGTCACATCAGAATTTAGCATTTCAAGTATAAATCATAATCACTGAGACATTAAAACTGTGGGTCGATTTAAAACCATTTATACGCAGGTATTTACCTAAGTATCTTGTATATTATACACAAATTTACACCCTCTTTGGGCGTTTTTTTTCTTTCTTCTTTGAATAACTTTGAATATGAGTTT